ATCTTTTCAGCGCTAGCTAGGTAAAGGGTGCAACGAATGGCGGCGATTTCGCCTGGCTTCTCTGATCCCGATCATGGAACACAGAAAAGAAGCCCGAGGAGAATCGGGGCACAAAGATGAGGCGTTCTCGCGAAGCTTAAAAATTCGAGAATGGTCAGTCGTTCGTTGTGCAACAACAAGGTGCCCCTGCCCCTGCCCAGCCTTGGAGCTGACATTTGCCACGATCACCGTCATGATGCGACCCTAGTGGATCCCGTTGCCGTCGCCTGTGCCGCCTCGGGTTTCTCCTGTCAGCAACTGCATCCTCTGGCTTTACAGAAACAGGCGCTATGAAACCCATTTGTCGTGCCATGTGGGCAGTCGTGGCAGTGTGGTTGCTTACGAGTTGCCAGTCACTCAGCACATACCCTGTCTCATTTATTTGCAAGACGCAGATGGGGCTTTTTCACCCTTCGTAGTCCGTCTTATACCGAAGCGAGACAGAGTAGAAACACACTGGGTTAAAGAGTAACCCTTCAAAGCCTCTTGCAACAGGCTTGTGTCTCTGTCTCCTATGTCTGTTGGGTGCCCCCTAGAATGATCAACGTCGAGGGAGTGGTCAAGAGGGAGTGCTGTGGCACCACAAGTCCAGACCAGTCTGTCGAAACCAAATCAACCCAACCTCTCTGGGCGCTGTTTCTCAAGACGGCCCAAATGAAGCTCGGCATACCCGCAAAGGTAGCCGCGCTGCCCCTCGGACCATGTTAGCTCTTCCACCACCAAGCAACGAATCCTAGAGAGGTTATGTCCATGATAAGATACCCGGGGTAGTGCTATCATTTCGCAAACCATATTAACGCCGCCCATGCCAGACCCCGGCTCCAAGATTCATTATCGTACAATATGCACAGTACCACCGCCACCCCTTTTCATTTCTTCCCCTTGGCAGCAGCTACAACAGCCGCAGCAGCCTCCCTCCGGTATTTTTCATTCTCGATCTCCCGCCAGTCCTCGGGGGGCTTCTCGTTGCCGTCGGTCGCGCCTTTGGCGCCTGAAAAGGCCGACTTGCCGGCGTAGAGCTGGTACCCCTCGCCCGAGGTCTCGGTCTCCTGCAGCTGGGTGAAGGTAACGGCCTGGTTGCCGCGGAAGCGCTTGCGCATATCGATCATGCCGCGGCGGCACTCGCCGAAGCCCTTCTTGAGCTGCTGGCACTTGAGCGGAAGTCCGTCAACCAGTGGTGGCCGGAGGCACTCGGCGGCCGTGTGACGCTGCACCATGATGCACTCGGACTCCTGGAGGCACTGCGCCAGTGCTGCTCCTGTGGGTGTGGACGATTGGAAGTCAGTTTCAGTTTGGGCCAGTCGGGACGGGGAGGGGGTGTTGTCGGCGCACTTATTTCTTTACATGAGCTCGGCATTGTGGTGGTTGTGGGCGACTGGCGGACAGTCGTAGCTGGTGAGTCGGGCGTCGGTTTTTTGGTGTGGGTTGTCAATGGGACACTGCCAGTCTTGCGATTGAAGATTGGCACAGCCGACGCGGGCGCGATCCGGGCTCGGCCGCTATGGCTGGCAAGCCGATTGGCCTGAGCCACCCATCAGCAGGGGTGGTTTCAATTGCTGCGGGCTGCTTCGAGGTTGCTTCCACAGAGGCCCCGTCCAGCCGGGCTGTCTCTCTGCAACTGGAACCTGCCAGAGATTCGGGCTCTACCCGTGCCTCATCAACGCCTTTGTGCGATAGTTTTACATACTCAGGTTGAAATGTGTTAGTATCCATACTCTCTTCTGCTTCTTCAATTAGCCCTTCGCCATACATATGACTGAGGTTCCTGCATGCTCAAATCCTTGGCGTCTGGGCGGCAGGCCGTTATGATTTACCCAGCCTCTCCACGTGTAGTACAGTTCAACTGCCAAAGGCCCAGCTACTCTGCCTGGTAATTGGCCTAATTGGCCCTCGAGTGTGCCCGAAGCCCAAAACATCACGAGCGTGGCAAGCTTGGACTGGCTTTCACATGTGATCTGCGTGACATCACTCGCTGCCCATGACCGCGCTTGGAGCATCCCCGCCATCGCTCGTGCCTGAAAGCGATCCTGACCTTGCCTGACCCAATCTTTGATACCCCCAACCTAACCTGTAAACGACCCTAGGCGAATCCTCAGAATCCCGGGGTTCCGAAAATGTCTTGTTCACAGCCATAACCTTCTAGCTTCGACAGTTCCTTCGATCATCTTCTTTCGTCGCCGCATCGTTGTGTAGTGCCGCATCTGCAACAGCCCCCTATGAGAAGGTAGAGCCGCTCGGGAGCCGTCAAGATGCCTGTCCCGTTCCTGGGGCGCCTGAACCTGTAAGTAAGACCGAGACATTCCACATCCTGCGCCTCTCTACCGTGCTAACCTCGCCCTCGTCGCGTTGTGCGCCGCAACAGCACCGAATATGCCGCCCTCATCGGCTCGTTTCTTCTCGTGGGGCTCGAGGCCATCATTCGGGTCCTCACCCTGGCGCTCCGTGAACACCCCTCCCAATTGCGGCGCCGACTCGATCGAGGGCTAACCAGGGGAAAGCATCGTCGTTGATCGCCGTCTTCTATGGCATCTCGAGGCGCCTCTTTAACAGACTGACGACGCCGGCACAAAAAAGGGCGGAGGAGCGGAGAAAATGTATGCCAGCATCGCCCACACCGTCCAACTCGCTATTCGAGCATGAGGAACCGCTGACGCTCGAGCCAGCCGTCTCCATGTCAATTCGCGATGCCTCCGACTTTGTCGACATCTGCGCCATGTGGGGGTACACGGCCGAGGAGCATGTTACGCAGACCAGGGATGGCTACCTGCTCGGGCTGCACCGGCTCGCATGGCGAAAGGGGGAGGAGGATGCCAAGGTCAACAGCGGGCCCAACAGCGTTAAGAAACGCGTCGTCTACCTGCATCATGGCCTGCTCATGAACAGTGAGGTCTGGGTTTGCTTGACTGATGAGCAGAGGTGTCTTCCATTTGTCCTCGTTGACCGAGGCTTCGATGTCTGGGTAAGTCGGACACCCATCTTGAGGAGCGAGAGACACGCTAACGGCGGCTTCGCCACAGCTGGGAAACAACCGTGGTAACAAGTATTCCAAAAAGTCGATCAAGTGCTCGCCGACCTCGCTGGAGTTCTGGAACTTCTCAATCGACGAGTTCGCCTTCTACGACATTCCCGACAGCATCGAATACATTCTGCAGACGACAGGGCAGCCATCGCTGTCCTACATTGGCTTCTCCCAGGGCACAGCCCAGGCCTTTGCAAGTCTCGCCGTTCACCCCAAGCTCAATGACCAGGTCAATGTATTCATTGCCCTTGCCCCGGCTATGTCGCCAGCCGGCCTCTCTAACGGCATTGTCGACGCGCTGGTCAAGGCCTCGCCGCAGGTGTTATTCCTTCTCTTTGGGAGGCGATCGATTCTCAGCTCCGCCACCATGTGGCAGTCCATTATGTATCCCCCTATTTTTACCAAGGTGATAGATCTCGGTTTGACCTTCCTTTTCAGCTGGAAAACAAAAAATATCAGCACCTCGCAGAAACTTGCCGCATACCCGCACCTGTACTCGTTCACAAGCACCAAGTCTGTTGTGCACTGGTTCCAGATCATTCGGACCAAATCGTTTCAGATGTACGACGACGATGTACACCCTCCGCTCCTCCTCTCGTCGAGCAGCAAGTACACTAAGGTGGCTAAGTACCCTACACGCAACATCAAGACGCCCGTCGTCCTGGTCTACGGAGGTAGCGACTCCCTAGTGGACATCAAGGTCATGCTCCGCGAACTGCCCAGCCAGACGGTGGCGACCGAGATCCCACACTATGAGCATCTTGATTTCCTCTGGGCGCGTGACGTCGATACCCAGGTGTTCCGGCATGTTTTCGATGCTCTCGAGAGCTTTACCGGCGCCGAGCACACCAAGGAGGAGTACGAGCGGTACCGGAGTGCGCGTCACACAAGCCTAAGCGCGAGCTCCTTCTTCCGGCGTCACGGGCCGAGCGACGCTGCGGTTGATAGCGACGTCAGCACAGCGGTGGGGGAGAGTGTGGATGGAGGCCCAGTGGAGATGATTGATGATGACCGGCCGCAGCAAAATGCTGGAGAGGATGAAAGAATCACGACCGGGAGGGAAGTTGAAGCTAGCTCGGAACAAAGGCCCGGATCTCGCGGAGGCATCAGTGGGCGCCCGCCTCAGCACCGTGAAAGCCACATTCCAACGCTGAGTGGAAATTACGCGCTTGCTCGACCCCGTGGCCCCAGAAATGGCGCCATGCTCGACGAGGATGATTTTGGCTGCTCAAGGCCACTATCACCGCAAAGTGTCCGGTTCCACGAGGAAGCCCCCGGCACAAGTGTCGACGGCACGGCGGATAGAGATGGCAGCCCGGTCGGAGACCAGGGTTTGAACCCCGCTCAATTTAGGACTCCAAAACGGAGGAGCACTGGTGGCAGCCAGATGAGCATCGACTCGATGAAGGGCGGCCGGGGGATCAGCCTTGGTGCTAGTGCGTATTTGACACTCCGTTGCTAAGTGTTATGTGGGGGTTGGATGCTTGCTAACATTTGGAGCTGATGTAGGCCGGGCCGTCGGTGGCGTCACGACGAGTGGTGTTGATTTTGTCGCTGCGTTGGCTGGTAGTTCAGATGAGGGAATGACAAGGAGGGATTCCATGAAAGGGAGGTGACTTGAGTGTATGTTGGATGAGATGAAATTGTGCGTTGTACAACGGGGTTGTTGAAAAGGTCAGGACCTCGGAGTTTGAAAGCGAGAAGAATGACTATCCATGAACTAGTTGGCGTGTTTGGTATTAGGAATGTTTAGATTACATATACATATATATGCAGGAACACGGTATAAATAAGGAATGGCTCATAACGGCCGCTTGCACATCTTTGATAGGTATGAACTAGATATCTCATGAACCATCTTTAGGCATCTTAATAGCGTGGTCGAAAAGCATAAAGAATTCGAGGCAAGTAAGGCCAAAAAGAAGTCTTGCGACGGGAATTGAGCCCGACGTGGGGGTCGAACCCACAACCTTGAGATGATGTGGATTTCTCCAGGTAAGAGTCTCACGCTCTACCGATTGAGCTAGCCGGGCAGGCTAGTTAAGTTGTTGAAAATCATGCTGCGCAAGATAGCCCAAGTACCCACCCTGCGGCAAAACTTGCAAAACAATAAATCTACACAATAAGAGGAATACACTGAAAAGAACATATAACACCAGGGATTCGCTAAGTCGTCACTGACCTAACTATCTTTTTTCTTCCCTTCTTTTCTTTTTCGTCCGGACAGGTCAGTCACAGGTAGGTGTTATCACTGACGGCTTTGGCTACCTAAGCGACTATGTTGCCCAGCTTCTCAACAGGGCTAAGAGTCTACCGGACGAGCATCCTGAACTGGTCCAATTTTGACCCGTCATGTCGGCGCTTTCTGAAGCTCTCCTCATCTTTGTCGAGTTGGGAGATGACCGCTTTAATGGTATTGGCGCTGCCCAGCGCATGTAACTGGACGCCCGTGATGCTCTCTGCTCATCGAGGGCCTAGGAGACGGGACTGGATTCGTCTCTTTAGCCCTTGGTGCCGCGCGTATACACGGAGTGAACCGTCACCCTCGACGCAAAAGGAATTCAGCGGGCGCAACTACGTACGGAGCGCCTTGAGACCGGGGTGGTCAGACGCTCACCGTAGTCACAAGAAGATCGTCGAGAACGAGGTTCTTGAGGTAGTGGAGCAGGTCCATACCGGAAACGGCCATGCCGGGTGGGACGCGACGTGGAGAGACATTGGCGGCTCCTATTATGCGCCCCAAAGGGCACATACAGACGGTGACCAGCCCGGACCGTTCCAGGCCGCCCGCCGAAGACGACTCCACTTACGACCCTTCCCCGGATGCGAGTGTGGACATGCCCCAGGATACCAACAGTGGGCTCTTGGATATGCTGAACGACGACAGCCTATTTCTCGACTTTCTAGGTCTATTTCTACCGCAGAGCGAGGTATACGGCCACGGGGAACATGGGGAACACAACACATGTATGTAGAGGGCTGCTAGGGGTTTTTTATACTAGCCCCATTTGCGTCGTTGTCTTGGTCGCGCTGTCCGGCTACTCACTCCCGTTCAAGGCCTCGCCCTGCCCCCCTATCCGCTCCTTGAGCCACTAAGCAAGCTCACAATCCTCCAACGAGACCAGCCCCAGGTCTCTAATCTCGAGCCGCCTCACCCTCTGGAGTAACAAGAGGGCCTGAATGCCAGGATCGGCCGGGTAGCGCAGTCTCTTACATTTATTGAGCAGCTGGGCGCACTTGGCTGCGCGGAGGACGGGAAGCGCCATGTTGGGGGGGACTCTGCTCTGGGACAGCGGTTACAACAAGGGTTAAAATTAGTGGAGCTTATAACGCACCAGTCTTTATTATAGCGCCCGGCCGCAGCCGATTTATACTTTTGGTGCATCTTCAACGTCGCATTCTTGTTGATGTGGAAGATACAGCGCTGCGGCTGGGCTTCAGGGTAGACCGCGGCCACTGCGACCCGCATAGAGCTTCATAGCCCAGAACTCCTTCCAAAGTTGCCGGGGGGCGCAATTTCATTTGTCCTCCGACAAGCAAGGTCCTTTGATGTGTGAGCCAGGCGGAATCTGCTATCGTAGAATTGCTTTGACGTCTTAGCCCCTGATACAGAGGAGCCCTGATACAGAGGAGGTAGGTCCGCGGTATTCCGAAAAGGGGGGCAGATAAGAGACACTGCTAAGCATCACTTTAAAACATGGCATTAATTGAAGGGAAACCAAATCTGCCCAGAATTCATTGAACACCGATTGCTGTAGGAGACCCGCAAACCCATCCGTAACTAACAACTGGCGGTACAAGAAGAAATCGCAATCTATACATCCCCAACCCCACAGGTAACCACTCACAATTTATCTATATTTCCCACCCATTCTTTTCATCTCCTCTCTCATCCTAAAATTCTTCATCCTCGTCCCTAGCTGAACGATCCTCGCTCCGAGACACGTCAGATTCGCTACCGCGCACGCTAGACGGTTCATCCGACGACGCAGAATCCTCAGTTTCGTTCTGCCTTTTCCTAGACGGCCGCTTAGAGGCTGACTTTCGAGGAGGGCTTGACACTCTGGGTTTAGATGCTCTCTCGGGTATGCCCTTGCTCTTTATTAATCTGGTCTCCCCGGGCTCATCCTCATAGCAGCGCGCCTTTCTCGTTGAACCACCCTTAGAGCTCCAACCGCCGTGGTCGCGATCATCTTTGTATTGCGTGGTGGCTTTCTGGCGTCTAGACGTGCCCTTCTCCCTGCGAGTGGGCAATTTATGAGCAAGTTCTGCCGGCAGCAGATCCCTTTCGCGAATTCTGTCGTCGCGGATCCCATCGAGCAGAGCAGCCTGCTCGTCATTTTCACCCCTTGTCTGCGTAAAGTATCTATCGAAACGCTTGATCGAATTTGAAACCAGCTTGAACTGCTTCTCATCCAGGACAGGGCCAACTTTCCCCTTCAAGATCTCATTTTTGCTATGATCAGCCTCCACATCGTAGCGAGCAAGTGATGCTGCTATTTGGAACGCGTTGCGAATTTGCCGCCCATTCCACCTGCTATGGTGCGCGGTGTTGTCCCAGTGTGACTGTGCAAATTCCATGATTGCATCATCGTTTATTACCAGGCGAGACTCTTTTAGAATAGTGTGCTCGAGATGCTCATCCTTTTGTTCCTCGATGATCTTAAGCCGCTTGATGTTTGCCTTGAAGATGGCTCTCATTTGTATTGCGGTCAATCGTTCGTAGTACAAGCTCAGGTGAATACGGGACTTGAAGGCCTCGTCAATGGTTCCGACTCGGTTTGTCGTGAGGAACAGAATTCCACTGTAATATTCGAGTACTCGAAGGAATACTAGGGATACAAGTTAGTTCGTCATGCACGTGCTGAAATATCGCAAAAAACATACCAGAGACTAGAGCATTGCGCTTAAGACTGCCAATATCTCGTCTTGCCAAGAAAACATCGGCCTCGTCAAGCAACAACACACAATCCCAGAGATGTGCCAGCCGGAACACTTCCTTGAGCTCGGCTTCGACCTCACCGGGACCAAGCCCAAGGTTCCCACATGTGATGGAGAACAGTGGCTTCTTATAGTGCTGGGCGATTGCTTCTGCAGTTGCCGTCTTGCCGACTCCCGGAACACCATGGAGGAGGATAAACAAACCCGATCCTTTCCCATATACCAAGTCCTGGTTGAGTGAAATGAAGGGCTTCAGTTTTTGCATCTTGCGACTCTCAAAGTGCGCCTTGACCAAGGACAAAATGATACGCTTGTGCTCGGTTTTGATCTTCAACTCTTCGAAGATGTCGGGCTGGTTGTCCAGGTTCCGGAGAGAGAGTACATCCAAGGCGACAAACTTTCTATCCCGGAGCGTGTATGCGATCATTCGGCGAGGAAGAAGCATGATATCCTCGTCATCCACCTCTTTCATGCTGCCATCCCGCGACGAAATGATTGCCTTGCTGTTCGCGATGTACTCGTTCCTCTGCAAGTCCAAAGATTTATCGTTATCTAAGTAAGACTCTCTGATCTCGTACAGGAGCCTTCTTTCCTTTTCGTCGGCCCAGTGCTTGATTGGAAGTTCTGCTTCTTCCCATAGCCAGATAGGCTCGCCAGCTCTGAGAACTCTGAATCTTGGTTTCCAAAGAGGATGGTGATTGAATGCCTCTTCATAGTCGATTATGACAGGGCCTTCGATGTGTTCGGGTGCACTTTTCTGGATTTTCATGCGTGATGATGGGGTACGCTTGAGGATACCTGGATCGCTCGGATCCTCCAGAAGCTCCGGAGGGATAGACCACCCTTCGTAGTGTAATCGAGGCTCTTTCACGAGTAACTGGAACATATTTCCCTGAATTACGAGATCTTCCCGAAGTTTGGCGGCACCATCGGCGAAGCGCAGCGGATACACATCAAGATCCGTGATGCTCTTCTCCCCCTCAAAAGAGGGTATAGTGGCATCACCTCTGACGACTGCGTACGAGCTTCCAGTGTAGTCGAGATAATAACAAGACATAGTAAAAGAAGGATGCAGGTCCATGTCATGATCCAGAGCTTTTCTGCTGTACCCGCCGCCTTGCCTTACTTGGAATATCCGCCACACCGGTTGGTAAAGGGGGTAATGAACACCGAGAAGGGATCCAGCAGGGGGCCAATACACAACTTCGCCAAGCCTGAATAGGATTGGGAGGTCGTCAAACCTAACTGTCTTGCGGGAGGTGCCGTTGAACGAGCTGTATAGTGGCATAACGTTATCGTCGACAAATTTGGCGTAGCATTCCAAATGGCTCAACGTAGTCCTATCGTCTAAGCCTGTTTGCCCGATCTTATTCGAATCATCAACGGAGTTGGCGCCGTTTTTGGGAGGGTCTGAGTTCATGCTGGCTTGACTTTCCACTGTGGGCGTGCTTTGCTGAAACTCTGAGAGCGCGGTGGTACCGTCATCGTCAAGCTTCTTCTTCAGGCTCTCAATAACATCTTTTATCCGGGGCTGAAGGTATGCAAGGATGTTGAACGGCCGCAAAATGATACGGGGCATCCATATATCCCACTTGGCCTCGTCCCCGGATGCTTCGCAGAGATTCGCGATAATTGCAGGCGATTGCAGGCGAATGCGTTGGATTCCAATCATCACAGACTCACAGCTAGAAGTACTGGGCATACTCCCAACCTCCCACTCTTTTGAGGCATATCTCATAACCTCTATGATATGCCTACCCTCGTTGTGACCATGGCGGTTCATGAAACGATGCCGACTGAGGTCTATAGCCTCGACAACCCACTCCGGATACTCCGTCCGATATGCTTTTAGGGCCATTTTACCCGCCAACCTCTCGGCTTCGCGTGCTTCTTCCTTTTGTTTCTCATCGGCTATGCTGCGACGGGATATGTAACCCTTTTCATCTCGTTTACGGCGGGGCCTGGAGCCGGAGCTGGAGCTGGAGCTGGATCGGGACTGGGATCGCGACCAAGATCTGTAGTAAATCTGGCGGCCCTGTTAAGACCGAGGGAAACTTCAATTAGCTAGGCTATTGGAGTGAAAGACGACCGA